AAAGCCTACACACACATGGAAACTGAACAACTTGCTACTAAATGACAGCTGGGTCAGGGAAGAAATAAAGAAAGAAATTAAAGTCTTCCTAGAACTCAATGAAAATGAAGACACAACATACCCAAACTTGTGGGACACATTGAAGGCAGTGCTAAGAGGAAAGTTCATAGCACTAAGTGCCTTCAAGAAGAAATTCGAGACAGCGCATTCAAGCAACTTAATGGCGCACTTAAAAACCCTAGAAAAAGAAGAAGCAGACACACCAAAAAGGAGTAGACGGCTGGAAATAATCAAACTCAGGGCTGAAATCAATCAATTAGAAACAAATAAAACAATTCAAAGAATCAATGAAACCAAGAGCTGGTTCTTTGAGAAAATCAACAAGATCGACAAACCCTTAGCCAAGCTCACTAACTAAAAGGCAGAGAGACACCATCCAAATCAACAAAATCATAAATGAAAAGGGGGACATAATGACAGAAACTGAGGAAATCCAAACAATCATTAGGACTTACTTCAAAAGTCTATATGTCACAAAATTTGAAAATCTAAATGAAATGGACAATTTTCTTGATCGATTTGACTTACCTAAGCTGAATCAGGACCAGGTAAATCAATTAAATAGCCCTATATCCCCCAAGGAAATAGAAGCGGTCATCGAAAGTCTCCCATCCAAAAAAGCCCAGGAGCAGATGGTTTCAGCGCCGAATTCTACCAGACCTTCAAAGAAGAGCTAACTCCAATTCTCTTCAAACTATTCCACAAAATAGAAACAGAAGGAGCACTACCAAACCCATTCTATGAAGCCACAGTCACCTTGGTACCTAAACCTCACAAAGACCCAACAAAGAAAGAGAATTTCAGGCCAATTTCCCTTATGAACATTGATGCAAAAATACTCAACAAAATACTTGCCAACTGAATACAAGAACACATCAAAGATATTATCCACTATGACCAAGTAGGCTTCATCCCAGGTATGCAGGGGTGGTTCAATATACGGAAATCCATCAATGTGATCCACCATATTAACAAACTGAAAGAAAAGAAAAACACATTATAATCTCTCTAGATGCTGAAAAAGCATTTGACAAAATCCAACATCCACACATGTTTAAAGTATTGGAGAGATCAGGGATACAAGGCACATATCTAAACATAGTAAAAGCAATATACAGCAATCCTATAGCCAACATCAAACTAAATGGAGAGAAACTTAAAGCAATCCCACTGAAATCAGGGACAAGGCAAGGCTGCCCACTCTCTCCATATCTCTTCAACATAGTTCTGGAAGTCCTTGCTAGAGCAATAAGACAGTTGAAGGAGATCAAGGGGATACAAATTGGAAAGGAAGAAGTCAAAGTATCACTATTTGCAGATGATATGATAGTAGACGTGAGTGACCCCAAAAACTCTACCAGGGAACTCCTACAACTGATAAACATCTTCAGCAAAGTGGCCGGATACAAAATTAACTCAAAAAAATTAGTAGACCTCCTGTATACAAAAGACAAAAGGGCTGAGAAAGAAATTAGGGAAACAACACCCTTCACAATTGCCACAAATGACAAAGTACCTTGGCGTAACCCTAACCAAGCAAGTCAAAGACTTGTATGAAAAAAATTTCAAGTCTCTGAAGAAAGAAATAAAAGAAGATATGAGAAGATGGAAAGATCTCCCATGCTCATGGCTTGGCAGGATTAACATAGTAAAAATGGCCATCTTACCAAAAGCAATCTACAGATTCAATGCAATTCCCATCAAATTACCAATAGAATTCTTTACAGACCTGGAAAGAAAAATTCTCAACTTCATATGGAATAACAAGAAACCCAGAATTGCTAAAGCAATCCTCTACAATAAAAGATCTTCTGGAGGTATCTCCATCCCTGATCTCAAGCTGTACTATAGAGCAACAGTTATAAAATCTGCATGGTACTGGCATAGAAACAGAATGGTGGATCAATGGAACCGAACAGAGGACCCAGAAATAAACCCACACACTTATGGACACCTGATCTTTGACAAAGATGCCAAAACCATACAATGGAAAAAAGATAGCATCTTCAAGAAATGGTGCTGGTCTAACTGGATGTCTACATGTAGAAAAATGCAAATAGATCCATACTTATCATCCTGCAAAAAATTGAAGTCCAAGTAGATCAAAGACCTCAATATAAAACCAGACACACTAAACCTGTTAGAAGAAAAAGTGGGGAAGAGCCTGAAACTCATTGGCACAGGAGACAACTTCCTGAACAGAACACTAACAGCACAGGCTCTAAGAGCAACAATCAATAAATGGGACCTCATGAAGCTGAAAGGCTTCTGTAAAGCAAAGGACACCATCATCAAAACAAAACGACTGTGTACAGACTGGGAAAGAATCTTCACCAACCCTTTATCTGACAGAGGGCTAATATCCAGTATATATAAAGAACTAAAGAACTTGAAAAACAGCAAAGAAGTAATTCAATTAAAAAATGGGGAACAGAGCTAAACAGAGAACTCTCTGTAGAGGAATATCGAATGACAGAGAAACACTTAAAGAAATGCTCAACATCATTAGCCATTAGAGAAATGCAAATCAAAATGACCCTGAGATTTCACCTTACACCCATCAGAATGGCCAAGATCAAAAACTCAAGTGACAACTCACGCTGGAGAGGTTGTGGAGAAAGAGGAACCCTCCTCCACTGCTGGTGGGAATGTAAACTTGTAAAACCACTCTGGAAATCAATCTGGAGCTTTCTCAGACAACTAGGAATAACGCTTCCTCAAGATCCAGCCATACCACTCCTAGGCATATATCCAAAAGGAGCTCAAGTACACAATAAAGACATTTGCTCAACCATGTTTATAGCAGCTTTATTTGTAATAGCCAGAAGCTGGAAACAGCCCAGATACCCCTCAACTGAAGAATGGATGCAGAAATTGTGGTACATCTACACAATGGAGTACTACTCTGCAATGAAAAATAAGGAAATCATGAAATTTGCAGGTAAATGGTGGGACCTGGAAAGGATTATCCTGAGTGAGCTGTCCCAGAAGCAGAAAGACACACACTATATATACTCACTCATATAAACATATAACATAGGATAAACCTACTAAAACCTGTACATGTAAAGAAACTAATTAAGAGAGAGGACCCAGACTAAAATGCTCAATCCCCATCCCGAAAGGCAAAGAGGATAGACACCAGAAGGAGAAAAACAGGAAACAACCTAGGAACCTGCCACAGAGGGCCTCTGAAAAGCTTTGCCTTGCAAACTATCAAAGTAGACATTGAGACTTATGGCCAACTGTTGGGCAAAGTGCAGAGAATCTTATGTAAGAAGTGGGAAATAGTAAGATCTGGAGAGGACAGGAACCCCACAAGGAGAGCAACAGAACAAGAGTATCTGAACACAGGGGTCTTCCCAGAGACTCATACTCCAACCAAGTACCATGCATGGAGATAACCTAGAACCCCTGCACAGCTATAGTCCATGGCAGTGTAGTGTCCAAGTGGGTTACATAGTAATGGGAAGAGGGACTGCCTCTGACATAATTTGATAACCTCCCCCTGAGGGGAGAGCAACCTTACCAGGCTACAGAAGATGACAATGCAGCCACTCCTTATATTTATGGTTGTGAGCCTAGCCTTTAACGGCTGAGCCATCTCTCCAGCCACTCCTGATGTGATCTGATAGACTAGGATCAGAAGGAAGGAGAGGAGGACCTCTTCTATCAGTGGACTTGGGGAGGGGCATGCACGAAGAAGCGGGAGGGAGGGGAGGATTAGGAGGGGAGGAGGGAGGGACTTATGGGGGATACAAAGTGAATAAACTTTAATTAATAAAAAATAAATAGATAAAAAAGAACCTGTAGATATGCAACAAATATAGCCTATGATGAAGTCAATGTCATAAATCAGAACAGATAAAATCAGCAACCCTAGAGCTTTCAGTGTAGGAAACAGGAAATTATTTAGACTGTCAAACTAAAAGGGGGGGCCTTGTCTGACCCACTAGCACCATTCCACACGTCACAGATTCTCAGCATCAGGTAAGATGAAATAATATGGAAAGTACTGTGGGCCACATGACACTGCCTAGTAATGCCCCAACTAGACCCACCACTCACCCATTCATTCAATCATCTCCTGGGAAACCTAATGCAGCTGATGATATCAGGAAAACAATCTGATGAGCAAAATGTCCACTACTGTAATAGTCTGGCTGTTGCTGATGTAGTCAGACAATAAAACAGTACGCTAACCTTTAAAGTTGTATTTTTAAAACATGTAACAACCTGAAATATGTTCAATGTGAGCATAAACAAGAAAAGCAACTGACACTGTTGCATACCAAAATGACAATTTAGTTCCTCTTGATACATACAGTACTGTGAGTAGTCATTCTTTCCAAAATTACTTCATTTTGGTTTTTGAATTTTTGCATATTTCAAGTTTTTCTGATAAGCATGTGGGAGGAGAAGCTATATTTTGCCTGGCATCAGATGCTGAAGGCTCAAATGGACAGAGGTGACTGGACAGGCAAATGTTTCTTCGCAGGAGACCTGGGTGATGTCGTACCTCTTGCCACCAACTTTCTGATGCTCTGGGTTCAGACTTCCAAGCCCAGCAAGCTGGCTAGCCTGCATACTACCTCTCAGAAAAACAGAAGACCACATTCAGATACCATGTCCAAATCAAATACAGCTCAACTATAATGTGTTTCCATGACATACTTGCCTGCCCAGGAAGTCTTCAACCAAGACCACCCACTTTGGCTACACAAACCACCATGTGAGAGTGATGCTGGAACCGTCTATGGATTGACAACTTTGGCTCATAGAGTCTGGAGCCCGAGATCCACAGTCCTGAGCCCAGGGCCTTCTCTGGCAGTGTTTTTGTTCCAACCTCACCAGCAAAACAGCTCCTTAGAGACTGTAACACAGTCCCTGGGTCTGCTGTGTGCATCACACCCAAATAAGAAAGAACACCTGTACTGTACCTTCATGAAGCAGTGTGGGCTTGGCAGAATCTTCCCCACTCATTAAAACAACAGAAGATGCAGCTGCTCGAACGGTAGCCTGCCATGTTGACATGGCAACAGGTGGTTCCTGGCATGGAAAAAGGGCCCTGTTGTTGATGGGAGATCCCATAGTATAAACACATGGCCTGCAGAAGACAGACAGAGAAGGGAAGAATTTTTAAAGTGAGTTGCCACTCATCTATCTCACCACCATCTATCTCAGCAGGAAGGTCATGTTGAGCTTTCCAAGTAGAAATATTTGAGGCTTTACAGTTGACTCTTTCAAAATATATTGAACTGAACATGTCAAGGGTCTGCTTTGTCAATAGCTCAGTCAGTGGTTATTCCTCCCAAATGAATCACTTTAATATGTGAAAAGGGGTGTGTGCATGTATATGTATGTGTTTTAAAAGAAAAAAGTTGGATAAGATTTTAAATACTATTCTGCAAAGTTATAATTTATGCTTCCCTTAGGCCTTTCTGCCTTCAAAGAAAAAAAAAGCTTCAGAAACATTCTTACAAACTTTTTGGAAAGTGTTTTGGAAAAGAAAACAGGGCTGGAGATCTCTGCAATTATTAATCTTGGAAAAACAAGTGGTAGTCTCAAAGCCAGCGCTGGCGGGCAGACCCGCCTCTTCCCACCAGTCCTGGAAACCACCTTCTCAGACAGAGCCATTGTGGGGATCCTTGTGTGGAAGCCAAGAACATGGCTTGGCACAAATGGGGCAGTAGAGGTCCCGACAACCAGGCTTGTGATGTGAACAGGAACCAGCTCATTGCCAAAGCAAGGTACGAAACGAGCAGCATGACCAAGCCGGCTCCCTTTCTTTCCACATTTAAGTCACAGTTACCAGAGATGGCAAAGACCTGAAAAATCAGAGGAATCCATTCTTATACTACAGACAGGGCACAACACTTCTCAGGAAAACAACTTAGGAAAGGAAAACTCTTTTTTTTTTTTCTTTCTGGAGTTAAGACAAATGTCAATTAATAAGCTTGATTTACAATGTAAACAAATGTCTACTAGTTCTTGCAGATAAACTGTTTTCATTGACATCATTATGACTGAACATTAATTTGTCTGTACAGTGTATAAAAGAACACACAGGATGATGGCTTTCTTCTTTCATTAACGCCCACTAAAGAAAAGACAAGCCAGGGTAGGGCCTGGCAAGCTGAGGTAACTTAATACAGAGAACTGTTATACAAATGATAGAATGGAGAAACTACGCAGGGACAATGAGGTAAGCCAGAAACTAGTAACAGCAGTCAGCAGCTCTGGCTCCTCAGCTGGAGGAGCTGTAATAGCAGTGGTCATCTGGAGTCAGGGCGGCCTGCCAAGGAGAAGCTGGGACCACAGAGGTGATAGGTGTCAGAGGGGATAGGGAACAGGGAAATGCCTAGTTCACTCCAATCCTCTACCAACCAAACTTGGCCAGAAGACAGCAGGCAGGAGACCTGAATGACTCCTTACCATTCAGAGACCTCAATGAGAGTGGAATGTGGGTCTCAGAACATAGATTGTGGCACTCATGCCATACAGGTGTGCTCACTCCATGGCTTGACATGAGAAAGGGATGATCTCATTTACTAACAAAGCAGACACGGCAGCACAGGCCTGTAGCCCTACCCTGCAGCACTGGAAAGTGGTGACAAAAACAGAGATCCACAGACAGTGTCAGCTACACACCAAGTTTGAAGCCAGCTGTAAGGTGGACTATTCCCAGCTGGCCTGCTAAATTAGGATACAATGAGGGTAGGTTGTTCTGGCCTTTTACCTGTCATGGGTAAAATGAGGAGAAGCAGGTCAGTAAGTCTTAGATTCTGTATGTCAAGCTTTTCAATCTGAAAATAAAGGGGACATTTCTATATAAGCCCCAGAGAATCCCATTAAGTTCCTACTCTGGATTTCCTACCCTTTGGACTTCTGATTGACTTAACCACCTTTAACTGTTCAACTTCAACCTCAGGCTTGTTTCAGACCCCAGCAAGGAAGGCCATCAATGCTTACTTCTTCCCACTGGGCCTGTGATGGCCAAAGAGTCCTGTAGTAGCTCAAATTGCTCAGTTATGTAGGGCCAAGAGAGTCTCTTAGAAAATTCAACCCATTAGGTGTGGGCTTTCCCCCCTCAAAGCCCCTCTTAAAGGAAGGCTGCATGAAGGAAAATAATCAACATGGAAAAGCACCCACTCTCACTAGCAACTGGCAGGTCTAAATCCTGCTTCCTTGACACTGGTAGACACTGGAGACAGGCTTCCTCTCCTACCAAAGCTTTTCTTATTCAGGAGCTAGAAGCCCCTTCAGAGCTGTGTGCACCTGTGGAGCTAGCCCACTTACAAGAACATTCCAGATTGTCTCTGCCTGGTACTCGGGTGGTGGCGACGACTAACGTGCACAGAACAAGTCACATGACCATGCTCTTGGCTCAACTGTCTGGGGTAATTCTGGGTGACTTTGACGGTCTTCCATCCTTGGTGGGTGACTGGCTATGTGCTGTTCTCTGTGTCATTCAAGGTTGGTGTTGACTTACTATATATAACACCTCCCTCCTGTGCCCTTGGGTGTGAGGCCTCAAGGCATCCTCTAGCAGCCCACATAATTGTTCCGTAGAAACAACCAGGTTTTAGATGAAGGCACATCTAAGAAATAATACAGAGGCAGAATTAGAAGGATTGCTCTTTTATTTTTCTTTTGTATGCATGTTTGTAAGCATGGTGTGTGTCGTGCGTGTGGAGACCAGAGGGCAGCTCCACCTTTGAAACAGCATCTCTCACTGCCCTGGAGCTCACAACCAGGCTAGGCTGGTTGGTCAGTAAGCTCGTCTCCATTACATGAATGCTATGATTACAAGTGTGCACCACCATGCCTGGAACAGTTACATGGACTCAGAAGACTGAGCTTGGGCCCTCCTCTTGCCTAAGCCATCTTCCAGCCCAGAATTAGGATTAACCAAAGAATGTGTTGAGGGGAGGGAAGAGGGAAGAGCTCTCAGAGGCAGAACTTCTAAGCTGCCTCTCTCCAGGAGCCTATCTCCTGCCACTTCCACCATTCAAAGCTAACTCCTGATAGCACCAGAGTTGGCCTCTGACCAATGGCAGAAAACATACCCTATCTCTCTTGAGACTTGTTTTGAGACAGACTCTCCCTATGAACCCTCACTATGTAAACCAGGCTGGTAAATTTCCAGCAACCTCCCAGCCTCTGCTTTGCATGAGGGGATTACAGCTGTGAGCCATGACATTAGGCTTAAGGGGTATTTTTTGGGGTTTAGTTTGTTTGTTTTTCTCCATCCTCACCATTTACTGGGGTGGGGAGACAGACCCAGTGGCTGGGTCATGAGGACATCAGTCAGCTAGCAAATGACCCCACTGTGAGGAGCAGAAACTTCTACCCAACTATCAATCAGCAACAACAGGGTTGTTGTTGTCTGCAACAACCCTGTAAGAGAATTCAGAAGACTTTCCCACCTACAGTCAAGCCCAGCTTACAGCCTGACTATAACCATGTCAGAGATTTAGGACAACAGCTGGACTATCATGCTTCTCTGAATGCCTCAGAAACTGGGAGATAAGAGGCACCTGTTGTTTAAAATGCTCAGTGTTTTGGAGCTGTCCATTATACAGCTATAGATAATGAAGTGAATTTCCCAAGGTTTTGAGCTCAAGGACAAGATGAATGGTAAAGCAATCAAACAAAAGAAACACAAAGAGCAAGAGCAAAGACCCTAAGGAGGATGGCCTGTTTGATGGGTTTATAAAAGGCTTTGCTCATCACATGGCAACTGTCAGTCTGATGGAACAAGCAGCTGTGTTTTTTTAATCCATCAAGAGGGCTAAATGTTTAAAACCAGAACTGAGAAATTCTACGCCTAGGCCTTAGTAGTACACCCAATAACCCTAGCACTTGGGATGTGAAAGCAGGAGGGTCAGAAGTTCAAAGCTGTCTTCATCTACATAGCTTAGAGATGTCTTCATCTACATAGCTTAGAGATGGCAGTTAGCATTCCAACAAATTGAGAAACTCTTCTGTTAACTAGATTCTCAAATACCATGTTGTGGTGCCTTTATTATCTACTTGCAGACATTGTGTTCCACAGCACTCACTTCCTCCCAATGTCCTTAGTATTCTCTTTTCTTACCTTCTTTTATAGAGGGTGAAGGGGCTGGTCTAAGCCAGGGTCTCACTCTGTAGCCCAGGACAGTCTGAAAATGCTCACTTTCTTTGTTCAGCTCATTCCTCTCTTGGCTTCTTTTCTCAGCTGCAGGTTCACTCCTCCCTTTCAAGCACATCTAAACCAAGAGCTAGACTTAAAAGCAAAGGCTTTTCATCTGTTACAACCTGGCATCCTTAGGCCTATTTCACAGTATAATGCAAGTACAAATTAAAAAAGAATTTAAAGTTGGGTAACTATATTTCCAGAAATTAAAGCTCTATCCTTGGGTAAATGCTCTGATGAAATGTGGGCATCTGCCAGCAGATGGAGGGTAGGCAAAGATGAATGCATAGTCATGCAGTCATATTTCCTACAATAACTCATGAATAACTCATGGCTCCTACCTGACTGATATACATTCATATGAAAGCTGATATGGAAGGCCATGTTCCTGCTCCCCCAATCCTTCACTAGGACTAGGAAAATCAATATGTTTATAGACAGGCTACAAGGTATCTGGATGTGTAATCATAGAAATAAATGCAGCTGTGTTTACTGGACAGGCACTGCCTTGTACCTCACCTTTGCTGACATGCTTACGGAATGGATACGCACGAGCCAGCTCAGGCTTCTCTGATGCTTATGACTGCATTACTCCCAGCTGGAATGATTCCTTCTAGCACGCAAGGGAAGATGTTCTCTCTCTGGGGCTCATCTAAAATGCCTTGGGAAATCAACCCTCCTGGGAGTTCCCTGGGAGCCCAAAAATCCCTGGGAGCTGCAAAAAATCATGGAAATGAGAGGAAAGTGAAAATCAGAGGTGAGAAAGGGTGAGATGAGTTGAAAGGCAGGTCTATGGCTTCATCCCTGAGGAAGAGCCTGTCAGAGCAGTTAGAGTCTTTGCTAAGGAGCTCAGTCTTTATGGAGTAGGCAAGCAGAGATGAGCCAGCTAAATCCAACATGCTTCCTACAAAGAACCATCGTAATGGAGA